CTCTCTGCTTCTCCAGCGGTTTTCCAGCCTTCCTCCTCCACCTCGTGCTGACAGAGCAGCGCCGAATTTAGCGAAGCAGCTGAAGTTCAAGGGAGAGGCGCTGCGGGGGGTTTGTGAGGCAGAGGGAGGTCACGCAGGGCGGAGCCGGTGCCCGTGCCCCTCGGGGGCATCCGAGGAGGAGGAGGCAGGGGAGCGGGGTTAAGAAAAGCACGGTGAAGTTAGTAGTGAAGAGGCAAAAACCCCACACAATCTGAGCTGGCCGTGCAGAGAGTCTGGTTTAACTGCAAGTCGGCGCACTTGAGGTTTGTTAGAGACACTATTGAACCACCTCCCTCGTGGCAGGTGCTCTGCTGTGGGTGCCACACCTGTGCGTCTGATCACACAGGTTAGAAATGACAACAGTTTTAGATTGGCAGGTCCGTGCAGAATATCAGAGTGCAATTCTTGATAAAAGACTATTACATGCCAAGCATTTTTACTAGTAACAACAAGCTAATCTTGTCTTGCTATTAACAATTTCAAAAATACAGACTCAGGGCTATCACTGCATTAGTCATTTTAAACAAGATGATCCTGACAAATGCTCTGTTGTTTTGGGTTTTTTTAATGAAACGTTTTGCCTTGATACAAGGTGACATTTAGATATGTAGCTTCTGTTGCAGAAAACAGTCTGAAAGTGGCCACAGAACCTTCTTCTGGGTGGGGAGCAATTCTGAAATAATGAGTGGATTTTTGAGCTTTTGCAGGAATTTGCCTGATCTTTTCCTTTAACATCTGCAAAGCACTTCATTTAAAAAAAAAACAAAAAAACAAAAAAAACCCCACACAAACCAATTAATCTGCTTTGAAAATGGCATTGCTCTTTGCAGAACTGTTTTGATTTCTCAGCTCCCTTCCTGCAGTAGTATTTTTAAATGTTGGTGTTCCAACGGTGTTCCAGGGTGACATCAAGGAATGATCTAATATTTTTAAATGTTGGTGTTCCAGGGTGACATCAAGGAATGATCTAAAACTGTTCAGAAACCCTTAATTTTCAGTGAGGAAACTGAGAGAAACGTTTTGTCGTTTCTTAAAAAAGCTAGTGGATGGTTTCATTGTTGAAAGATTTCATTTTCAGTAATAAGCCATCTATCAGTAAAAATATACTCACATTTACGGTTTTTAAAATCTACTTATATTTTTTTAACGGCTTGGAAACTTGAAGGTGAGACACTGTATCAGGATGATATATTACCATCTATGGATTGCAGTATCTACCAGTAACAATAAAAGCAGGGTTACAATTTCAGTCAGACGAAAAGCTTGCTCCCCCCTCAAAATTTTAGAGACCTTGGGAGTGGAAACCATAAATCAGGTGTAGCCGTTTTCCCTTGATAACCCTGCTTAGCAGTTTCCCTCTCCCACTCTTACTGCGCACAGTTCTTCCCGCGTTCCATTAGGTGGAGCTTTGTGACTGAGGCTGCAGAAGAAACTTACTCCAAAGCGCAAAATAACTAACCACGGGGCGGCTGGGGGAGGAGGCGAATGAAGCCCACTTTGCTTAGAGGTATCAGTGTCCTGTACGCCAGCTCGACAGGCAAAAATCTGAATCGAGACCCTCGCACACAAGGAAAATAACTTGAAAAATCGATTGTGTCAAACAGAGGGCTGCTCTGATCTGCTGTTATCAGAGCCAAGTTCCAAATCTGAAATACCTGAGGTTATAAATTAAATGTCAAATATAATTAATCTGGCACTTGAAACATGAAGTGGATGACTGTCCTTTAGAGGAAGCCTGACAGCTTTATGTATGTCACGTTGGTATCTGTTAAAACGAGCTTTACATGCCAGACAATCCTTGTGTGAATCATATTGCTGTTAGCTGTACCAGAATTTTGTCAATGTAATAAGTCTCCAAACAGTTTTCCCCTTAATTGTCTGACACTTTGGCAAGACAATATAAATCAAGTGTCATCTGCCTCATCTGTGCAAAATAATGGTTTTATCATACATCAAATAGGCAATTTATTTCTTATTCATTACTGGTGAAGTTATTGTAGAATATTTACATACAAATCTATGTTTTATACAAATTGAAACAATTTTCTGCCCTGTGCCTTGGACCCAGAACAGCTACAATTGGAATCCACTTTTACTTCTACCTTCTTCAGTTCAGCAGCAGTGGCTGTAGTCCTGCAGTTCCCTTCCACAGGGAGGTCCAGGTTATAGCTGGGGGTGCTGCTCCTTCCCCAGCCCACTGCCCCGATGCATGGAGACCCCCCTCTTCCACACCCTGCCCGTCCTGCCCTAAGCCAGAAACAAAGAGGTCTCTTCATATTTTGCATTTTGTGTCCCTGCTTTGCACAATGAACTGCACTTGCCTTTAATGCTTATTTATTCGCAGGTACCCCTGGGAAGGAAGAGAAGGCAGGTTTGCCCAATGGACACTTTTCCACACGTGTTGAAGTAAAATATCAATAAACTAGATTGTTTCCCTCTGATAGGACCAGTAGGACCTTCCTAATCCAAACCTCATAAAAATTCCCCAAGTAAGGATTTAATAGCAGTGCTGTAGGAAGGTTTTGGTGCTCTAGTTCCACAAGTAGTTTTTAAATGCATGTAACAAACTGGCAAAATGTTTGTGAC